CAGCCAAAGCCATGAAAGATGCTCCAAGTGTCTTCTCCACCGCGCCAAATTTAGCAGTTCCATCAGCATCAACAAAAAACTTGTTGCCTCCAAAGAGATTGTTAAAGAAATCTGACAAGCTGTCCATCATATCAACCACCGTTTGTGTCACTGTTTGGGTAACATTCTGCAAAAAGCTTGTAAAAGTGTTCCCGGATTTAGACTCTTCCGCCTTAGATTCAGGAACCGCCTTCAATGGGGATGATTCAGAAAAGTAATCAGTATTAGCAACAGATTCATCTCTCTCTTGATCCGAGTCTGGGAATGATGCACCTGCAACTATGGGAATGTGGTAAGAAGCTTGATCATTATGAGAGATTCGAGGAAAATCAAGGACATACATTTCTCACTGGATCTTTGTGACTCAAGGAAATCTTGAAGGGCTGGATTTTGCAGTACTGCATTCCACACATTTGGGTCACAAGCAATTGAAGCAACGACGTTCTGGGAAAGAGAAAAATGAAGTCAACATCAGCAGACCTGGAATACCCGTAACCTCCGGACACTACTAAGAAGGCACCCCAAAGAGCTTCATGAAGTTATTATGAGTGTCTACTGTCTACTCAGATGCCAACATTATTAACACCAAGAAAATGCATAAGAAATACCTCTTTTAGATCTATAGCGCCTGAACCCATCTAAGTCACTTTATGTTCATACTTCGTACTAAAATGTAAATAAAGAAAGCCACTTTGACAGCAGAAAATTTTAAGAAAAAAGGTTAAGGAAATACCAGCATGAGAACCACAAGGGGAGGGGACTTATCTAATACTTGAACATTCTAAGAGTCACGTTATCTTGACGTTGAGATTCTTCTGCTTCTTCAGAAATTTTAAGGAAGTATCTTCTGTATTGAACTCAACTCAAATATACTCTTCTAGATGTCAACATCTAGAGAGGAGTACCTAACGAATAATCAAATGAGCTGCACACTCCCAAGTATGAAGAGCTCTAAATTTTCTTGACGCTAGCAATTCCAAGAAAACAGATTCTGTTCGAGGAGATTTCACTAGTAGGACTAGGGGCTAGCTTAAATAGTTCCACATTTTATGTTATGAAAACAGTATTAGTTCAGTTTTTGTTGACTGGATCTTCTTATCTGGTCAAATTTAACAAATTCAGAATCATTCCTCACCCTAGTAATGGCTTATACCGAAGGATTAACAGAAAAAATTGCTATATCCAGTTTCTAAGATATGAACATACAACACTAGATAGAATATGAAAACTAAGAGACTTGTAGACAAAAATGACAAAGAAGGAAACCTGAGCAGCAGGAATTTCACTCAGAACCCTATATGCCTGCACAGCATGTTTTGGCACAGACTTTGTGACTATAGTCTCGCTGACAACACAGGCTTTGGAGACGGGCGATGAGCTTGAGCCAGATATACAAGATCCCCCATTTCCATTAGCAGATCCAGACAAATATACCCTGTAAATTTAACAAAAGTTCTAAATTCACACTAAATAGTTGTTTAGATCATCTATAAGAGCAAATATACATCTGTTGGAATATAACAGCAGAGTGACACAGAGAAGTTCATATGGCAACCTAAGTCCAATAGCCTTTCAAATCCCATATCATCAACCTTGCGGGGACTAAAGTTAAAGGTTAAAGGATGTATGATGAAAAGACAAAGCATACCAATATTAAAAGAGTGGAGCAACAACCGAATTTACAAGTTCGTTTTCATTTTTCCCTTCACCTATTTCAGGTCCAAAATTTAAGTTTCTCTCTTCACTGAAACTGTAACACAGAAGAGCGCATTTGGACTCTGAAGTGTCACCCAACCATAGTACTTATGAGAATGCAGCTTATGGCACAGAATAAGTAGAAAAGGCGGATTTTTTTTAATTCATCCAAAACACCTTAATAGCACAAATGACTTACTTGATCTCCCTTACCTAATATTCACCACTTATGTAGCACCCTCTCCTTTTAGACCCTCCCAAAAGAATGTCACCCTTCCTTATTTAGCAACTATGTAATGGCATCATCCTCATTCATACTTGTTGAGTTCCACCTAACACTTTTTAATGAAGAAAATTCAACTAAAAGCAAGTGCTAAAAGTGAATTTCATAAGGGCAATTTGCTAAATATGCGTGTCTTCCCTTGATTCTTTAACTCCACGTCAGGACCAACAATGCCACATAAATTGGAACAGAGGGAATAGTATATATGTATGGCAAATGCTATCTCAAGGTGCTTCTTTGCAATCAGTTTTAAGAGTTATCCCCTTTTCAAAAGTAAAGTTTCATATTGGGATAATTCAAAGCTATATTCAAACAAGCAACATAGAATTGGACGGTGCAATATTTCTCCAACATGTCCCGTTTTACTCTAAGGAGCAAAAAATTGTAACTTTGTTCCATTTCGAATCAATCAACTGAATAATCACTCAATCACGGTTAACTTTCACGAAATGCAACAATATACCACCCAATTAGCTTTCGGACTGGGGATGTTAATGCTCTGTGGTGACTTAGAACACAAAAGACTTGCAATTTTATGATTATAAAACATAAAACAAAGCAATACTACGCATAGACACTAATAACAGATAACAAATTGATAAGCAAATTTGCAGGCAGAGTAAATAGCAGGAGAAATGAATTATACAGAGCATCTTTGAGATCAGAAGTAGCCTCTGTAGCTTCCTGAAGAGAAGGAGCTCCACCAAATACGAGTCGAGGCAGCGGTTCACCAGGATTAACCATCATTTCCTCCTCTCCGCCGGCCATCTCCCAGTCATCAAAATCAGAAACCATCTTAGGCACATGCGACACATCCAATGATCCACCGTGAGAAGCCGTAACCATACCAGACTTCACATCTTCCGACGTTGACGATAAACCTGAGATCGACACCGGACGAGCGACGTTGCGTGCGGCTGCATAGAGTGGATGCTCCGCCGTCACCGAGCGGAATCCGCTGTTCACAGCGGCGGCTCCGGCGACCTTCGCCGCTGCTCTAAATGCTCCACCGCCACCCATAATTTTCGTAATTATCTATTCGAATTCGACGAATGAGGCAACCCTTCAGCAACGAAGAGATCGGTTGCGTATAAGTTTTGGGGTAAAATAGGACTCTGACGATGGGACACGTGGCGACTAAGTGTTGCTTGCTTAGTAAGCAAGATATTTTTAGGATAATTTTGATTATTAAATTAGAGAATTATTTTATTTGAATTAATGAAGCCGAAAAGTGAATTGGATTCAACGAGTAGAAGATTACGTGAGCTATAAGTGTGATTAAGAAATGATTTATATTCCTAAAAAGCTAATTTGTGTGGTTACTTAAGCGAATCTTGACTGATTTTCTCCTCTAAATTTTCCAAAAATTATGATAAAGGGCCTATTGGGCTTTACTATGTGCCCCATCTAGAACCAACATTTAAGTTATAGCAACTTTATAGAAAACTTTCAAATTTAGCTACATGAGAACAAACTGCCAGCAAAATTATAAAAATCATATTATAAGTTTTAAAATATTTGATATTTTTGGGGTCGACAAGGCTAAACTTTAAATATGTACATATAACTGAATATATTTTTTAAAAAAGAATTGAAATCCTAATTTGCAGCCAAATTTTCTTTAACTTTGATTAATAATTTTCACTTTGATAAAAACGTAAGTTTATAGTAATATTTTTAGAAGGGTAGTAATATTAATCTACAAAGTTAAAGCATTTTTTTGTCGAAGCATGCAAAAGCTATTGCTTAAATCAAAACGCAACACAAAACGACTATCAAAATGTAAGTTCTAAAAAATAAAATCATGATAAGAGATTGATTGTATAGAACATCTTAATGTTTATTTTATTTTCAAATTAAGTGTAATTGTTATAATCGAATAAAACATTATCATGTTATGTATATGTTCTCCTACTTTCTACTTATGTTAAGTCTACTACACCCATCGATGAATTTCGTTTATTTTCAGTATCTTTAATTGGTTTAGAGTTAAGAATTTACGGTTTAGGATTTAGAGATGATATTGACATTAATCCCTATGTCTAAATTTAATTATTAAGCTAAAGTAGACCCCCAAATCCATTTTATATCAACCTAAGTTATACTGAAAAAGTATATTCATTCTCTTAAAAAGATTATGTACTAATCACTAACTTTCATTAATTTATTCTAATCAATATTGATATTCTGGTTGTTTCCAATTAATTTCTTTATTAAAATTCTAAATTCTACTTAAAAGGTTATTTGCCTTTTTCTTGTGATGATGGGCTTTTCAATCATACAATTGGGATCCAGCAAGACCAGCCTTAAGGGCCCACTTATAATAAGTCCAGCAGAAAATCTATAAAATTGGGCCCACATGGGCCCATGGGCCCGTTGTACTCCCTTCTCCTTTTTTAATGGGCCCATCTTACGCACGTTACGAAAAAGCATCCTATGAAATTTGCAGGCCTTGAAAAAAAAACAAATAGTCAATTTCCGATTTCTATAATTGAAAAATAATCTATATTTTGAAATTTTACTTATGAAACTTTATAACTCGGTACATTATATTGAATGTTTTATTTATAAAATTTTACGTATGAATGTTAATCCATTACATTATATAAGGTATATTTTTATCGGTGTTCTATTTTTTGACCTCCAATGAAGGGTGAGAGTATATACTAAAACTCTTTATGATATTGTGTAAAAAAATCTTGTATGTTATAATATGATATATTAAACGTAAAAATGAAGATTCTCAGAGAGTTGAGAAACTATTTTTCCATCGAAAAAGAGAAGAAATAAATAACAAATTTATAAAACTATATCCAAAAATAGGAAAAAAGATATTTTGATAAACCCAAAATCTTTACAGCCGCACCCCAAATCTCATTTAGAGTCTAAAATAAACCTATAATCAAGCCATGGTAATTTGTACTTAAACCCCCCACCCACCCACCCACCCACAAAATCCATAATTATTATGGACATTTAATAATTTTCCAAAATGGGCATTTCTTTATTATTGATCTTCAAATCCCTTCTCCTTCCTACCATTCTTCTTCAGAACACCTGCATTTTCCATTTTAAAAAAAATCAACTATTAAATTTAAACATTTAAATATAATTTCTTTATTCAAATAAAAATAATGAAAACTACTTGACACTCACTAGTACTAATTTCAGGAAAAAAAAAAGATAAATCATTTCATTTTTCAGAAACACAATTCAGAAAATCACATGGAAAACTAGTACTTTACAATCCAACTTAAAAAAATGACATTTGTCCCTTGGATAGTAGTGAAATTCACTAAATTGACAAATTCATTTCTCATTTTTAAAGAGAGATCTCGAGATTAAACATGGTCATAAATTTAATTTTAAATCAGATCTCAATATGAAACGCGAAGTATACGAATTAATCAGATTTATTGAATTTTGAATACGAAAAAACAAAACAGAGGAATGAAATTACCATCTGGTTTGCAATTAGGAGGATCTTCAAAAAGTGAAAGAGAGAGTTGTTTATGAGCCAAACCAATATCAAAAAGTATAAGACCAGATGAAGGATTATCAACCACAATTCCTTTAACAGGTAACCAAACAAAAAGCTCTTGTTGAGAAAATCCTTCCACAGCGCCTAGTGAACCATAAGTGAGATTTGCTCTTACAACACTATCATATAAAGCCATAGTATCAAATTTAGCCAAACAAGGCCCATCTAAAAAAACTTGAAGAAAACCAGAATCTGATAAATTGTAAGATTTCACTTCTTTAGGGAGGAGTCCAGCTGGTAATCCTTTTGATTTTAGTAGATCATGAATAGACATGGAAGAAGTAGCCAATTTACACTGTAAAAAACAGAGGAGGAATAAGAAAAGCAAATGTGAAAATTGTGTGAAATTGTTTTGAAGAAAAGGCATGATGAATGATGAAAGAGAGAGATTACAGAGAGAGAGAGTGATTTTTTTTGTTTTGTGTTTTTGCCTTTTTGATGGTTTAAGGAAAAATTTGAGGAGGGAGATTTGGGAGAATAGAAAGATTATTTAGGGCAAAAGAGGATTTTAAGGCTGATTTTACTATGTTGCCTTTGAAGATAATAATCCACAATTGAATTGATTAGGTAAAAATAAAAATTTTTGCTTCCTTAACTATTTGAGATACCTTTTGTTTATGGGGTATGTGTTTTAAATTTTCTTGGTGTTTTGATATAATATTTGGTTTTGTTTTATTGTAAAAATGTTGAAGTATTTAATATTCTTAGAAACTAGTACTAGTATAAACACAATTATTTAAATATTGAAATTTTGATATTTTGTCTACTTTGGTTTAAATATATATGTTTAAGATGTTAGTATATGATTGTATGTAAGTTGAAGTTAAGTAATTTTTTTGTTATTAAATTATTATTACACAAAATATTATAATTGAACTTAAATTTATCGAATAGTACCATATGAATTTTGATGATAATATTAGAGCGTTTTTAAAAATGGGAATTATCAAACTAAACTTTCCAATTTCGACATAATATATCTAATTCCTAATTAATTGAATATTTTTCTTCTTTTCTTTGCGTATGAAATATACTATATCTAAAATATTTTAGAATTACTATATTATATCAAATGTGAAACTAATAATACAAGTGTATCAATAAATAATAAAATAATAATAATCGTGATAAATGTATAAATATTTACAGAGGAATGATTTTTAAAAAAATATACATTCTAATTAATTAAAAATTACATTTAATTATTAGCTGGACATCTCAAAAACTAAAAAATCTGAATTTAAAATTTTAATAATTGAGATATAAAAAATAATACTAGAAAAAAAAAGTTGAGTTGATTGATTTTATTTGCCTTAGCATTGGGCCTTAACGACTTTCAAAGTTTCAATTATTTTCTCCTTATAATAAGGTCCTGGGGTCACCATGAATTATTATTCTACGTCACGCTGGCTATTATATATACTTTGTCTGCCTTTAATTATTATTTTTTTTGAAATTTAATTATTTGTATTAGTATTTGATTCATTCAGATTTATATACTGCTTACATTATTTATATGTGATTTGAGTATTTTTTTTCTCTTTTTATTCTTAAAAAAAAAGATTAATTAAGGATTAACAAATTTTAATCATTTTATCACCGTCGTTATCAACTGCTTTTGAAATATTTGATATCATTATCCTGTCAATAATTTACAAGGAAACTTCCACTTTCACACTCTATGAATATATTCCAACATCATAATTTTTAAAAATTACTCCATATTAACTTATTTTATACAGTAACTCTTTTTCTAAGTAAACATCATTTAATTTTCTGTATTAGTACTAGGTTTCATTATTCAACGTGGTCTCAAATAATTATTATAATTTGATCTAATACAAGTGACAATTTATTTTCTATTTCCTAAAAGAATTCAAGTTCCATATATCAACTAGATAAAATATATATAACAATTAAATTAACTAGAATATAAAAAAATATTAATTGATATTATGACCATTGAAAAAGTAACCAACATCCTATTATAAATTAACCATAATATATGAAATTACTATATCAATACTTATATATAACTTAAATCATTTCTTAAATTGGTTATGTTGATGTGATTATACTCCTCATACAATCATACGTAATGAATATGTAAATGATAAAACGTGACAATGAAATTTTATTTCTCATATTCATTAGGCATAACAATGGATTTTCGATTTTTTTTTCTATACGTACATACTTAATACTCATATTTATTAAAAAGAGGAGTATTTTTTCGTTTAACACTCATAGCAGTATCTTTTCGTTTATCAAATTTATAGGTCGATCCAATAATTTCTAGTGAAGGTCTTTCTCATTAGAGTCAATTAGAATTGTGTTGGAGTCGTAAGAATTACTTTATCTTTAATCAGATGTCTTGAATTTGAATCTTTTAGTTACGAAGTCCTTTCTCATTAGATCCCTAGAAGTTGTTAATGTAATAACTTTTTTTTAGCTTATGACTTCAATGTATATAACCTATTGAACTATATGACCTATTAATACATTGGATGCTATTAAATAGGGAAATAATTCATATCTAAAACGTTTTTCTTTATTAATGTACCTTCTCCTTTTTCATAGTCAAAGTTAAAAATGGTAATGTCATTTTTTTCTTTGTCCTATTAAAGTGGTAATTATTAATATTGCGGTACATTAAAAATTATTAAATTAGGTGAAGCAATTTTATGGAGTTTTTAATATATTAAATTTTGAAATATAGAGTTGTAAAAATATTAAAATTTTGAAATGTGTTGGCATTTTCTTCTGTCTTGTTCTTGGGAGGAATGTTTTTGTTGTTTCATCGATCATTGGCTTGACTTTAATTTTATTTTTTTTTACTTTTTCTTATAATCGTACAACATCTAGAAATTTTTAATCATGGATAATTCTTTTGGTTAGTTGTAAAGCAATATAATATATCCTTTCTGGCTAGTGTTGACTATTTTTTTTATTTTTATAAAAGAAACACTTTATGAAAGAACAAAAAATGACATTTCAAATAGACGGCAAAATTAATTTTTTTTGCCCGTGAAATCTCGAATTCGAGTAATCTAAGTAAAAATTTCAAATTCAATAAATATTTTATTTTTTTAATTGAAAGTCTCAAATTTAAATAATAATGAACGAAAATTTAAAATTTAGTGAATATATTTATTCTTTAATCATAATTTTGAATTCGGACGATATAAATAAAATATATTTTTTAATTTAGTTTTATATTTGTAATAAGCCATATGCATAAGATAAATCTAAATTAATTAATTATAAAGAGAGATGATCTCATACAAGCAAGGTGGGGCAATACTTGATATTTACATTTTTATTACGAAGTTATATTGTTTAAATAAGTTATTTCTTTTTTAAAAAATGTTACTACAAAAGATAGAGATTTTTTCCTAGCAAATCAATAGAACGTTCATTGATTTTTTTATATTTTTTATTTAAAAAATCAATGGTATGTTTATATTGTTTCGTTGAAGTTTTTAGATTTTTTTCGTGTGAAAATATTATTGTATTATTTTTTCACTAATTTAATCAAAATATCTGTGAGAATAATCATCGAATAGTTTCAACGGGGTATTTCGAATAAAAAACATTTTTATCTTAATATCTTTTACTAAAAATAGAAAAAAAATCAATTTATTTTAAAATTAAAAAATATTATAATTTTTTAAATTTTTCTCTTTTTAATTATTATTAATAGAAAAATTTTGAATCCGATACTACTATCGGAAAGTGGTATCCAACCCATTGGGAAAAGGGACCGGCAAACCAACGGAGTCAACACAAAAACAAAAACACAACGAACCCTTGGGATTTTCAGAGATTTGAAATTTGTCGTAGAAAGAGATTTGGAAAATGACGCATCCATTTAAATCTATCATAAAATACCGTGTGAAAATATACTATGGACTCATAGCATGAAAAAAATGTCATTAACAGCATTATTAATACTTTAAAGTAAAACAAATCTATGATAATGACATCAAATGAGATGTTAATTAATTGAACTTTGAATATATTAGGTACACACAAAATTAAGTCAAAATTAATGATTTTTTTTTAATCTATATATGTTCCATCAAACATGTAGCTCTACGCGAGTTATGATATATATATATAAATATATATATATATATATATATATATATATATATATATATTATATATATATT